ATGCCTCCCCCTGTATTGGTGTAGTAATGGACATTCTTGTTTTGTCACTTAAAGTGATGCAATCTTCTTGAAGGCTTTCAATCCCTAACGAATTCAGCTCATCAACCACAGAATCATGTGTTTCCACTCTCGCATGATCTCTATGAAACACATTTCCCGTGAGCTCGATTGAAATGTCAGAGTCATCCTCAACAGTATAAATTTCTAACTTATTCGAACTGGATCTCCCATTTGCTTTTTTATCTTGGATATTGCCACATTTTCTTTGGATTTTCTTGGGTATTGGTTTAAAATAAGTTTCTATTCTTCTCATTTTATTGTTTTCCCCATGAAAGGACTTTCTGTCACTTGATTTGATTCGTCGTTTTCTTGATTTCTTTTGTGTTATTTGCGATGGATTCTTTTCTGTGCTTTTTATTGGTGATTTGGATGAAGATAAGGTCGTAGGGGCATTTTCCTCTGCAAATGTAGGCTTCCAGTTTCTGGTCCCTTTTCTCCGTGTTTGCTTTGACCCCTGGGAAAATGGTGCCTTTGTATCCTCTTTATCCTTCGTGCATTTTGTGACATTGTGTGACGTCACACAAGAACTGTCACGCACCTCAATTCCCCGAGCTACATTTCTGGTGTTAATGGAAGCCTGTAGATCTCTCAAAAGGCGCCGCAAATTGTTATCTGGATCAAACAGATCTGTTACCAAGAGCTCAAAAGAGACGCATTTTTGGTCATTAGAGCTACATCGAATGAACGGCTGTCTGTCAATTTCGGCTCGGTAATTGGCTTCATTAAACTCTCCAGATTCATTTAAACTTTTGCGAACGGAGGCCATCTGTTGAACTAGCTCATGAACTTCTTCCGGTTCTAGAATAATCCGTCGTAACGTTTCAATGTCTTCAGAAAGGAACATTTGCGTCAAAAAGTAGATAAAGTTAAATTGCTGGCTTTCATCAAACGAGATACTCTCCCAGAAGTGTATGTTGGAACAGTTCTTGAGTTTTTCTCTCAAAACACTTGTCCTACATCCTGCGAGAGAAAAATGAATCACCCACGCCGATAGCAAATCTTCATCTTCTATTATTGTCTCGTTGATCATCTACAAAAGAAGAATTAAACAATTCGTTTGAAAGACTTTTTAAAAAGTGTTCTTGCGTGCAGGTGTCGTAGTTTGCGACAAACGGCGCGCGAGTAACGAGATTCACGTGTGCGATATTTTGGCATCGTGTTGTTTCGCTTTCTTTCACTTCCGGGAATATTCTTGTTTACGAAACGGCAACCGCTGCAAGGCAACTAGTTCAATAACGGTCCTAAATTTATACTATTTTCTCTTTCAAATGAGTCAATGATTCGTTATAATTGATTGTGGGTTGACAAAAGAGCTAGTCAGCTTGGCCTTTTCTAAAACAACTCATTTTAGGTCTAGATCTTTTATTAGAAATTCCTGCAACGATGCCTGAGAATATGAATGTTTGCAGCACATGATTTCCGACACTCTTGGGAAAAACTTGAAGGATTTCTCAGTCTCAGGGTCTCTTTTCACCATCCTGAATTTACAGTTGTCACATTTCAAGCCCAAGGGAAATAGCGGTTGGTGAACGGCCGGGGTATTTTGCAAAAACCGACCGCCAAGTGAAGAATGTCGCAGAACGCCAAATGCAAATGTAGTTTGTTCCACTCATGTTTGCTTGCGGTTAGTTTTTATTTGTTGGAAAGGACAGCATTATCTTGTATTTAGCCCTTTCCAACAAATAAAGCTAACGCGAGCAACCATGAATGAACTAACCGCAAGAAAACTGTGCATTCGGCGTTCTGCAAAATACCCACGCCTGGAGCTACGCGTGACCAAATGGCTTTCTAAAATTCAAATTAGCGCCAGTTTGAACAGAAAAAATCCGTTGAAATCTTCCACCACGGACGAAAAACAGCCCAGTATTTACTGCAGTTCCTTCATTTGACAGTTACATATATCTCCGTAAAACATCCAGTATTTAGCTTAGCAAAATGCGCAAATCTTGTCTGCCCGTAACATAGGTAAATTATGTATTTGACCTGGCTGTGAACTGACGATATAGCACTCAAATTATAGAGGCCCACCGAGACACTGAAGTAGAATGTATTCTTTGCAGCTGTGTCAATTAAACCCTGCGAGTAAAGCCTTGTTTTATGCTTTTTACCGGCACATAAAGGAGGATGTATTCGCACAGTATGCTGAATTGTGTCCAGTAGGAGTGTCAAGGTGAAATTGAAAATCGTCGTCCATTGCAAATATTACTGACATAAATAAGCGCAGTAATCAAGTCTATTTTATATTTTAAACTCGTCGGTTCGTTTAAAATCATTAGGTCTGAAATGAAATGTTTCCCTAAAAAGCTATTGAATTACCTTGTAAGATACTGAATCCAGAGTCACGCGGGAATTTCAGGCATTGCACATGCTCGACAAACTTTGCCACCTCCTGTGTACTGCTCTGATGATATGAATCTGTTCGCTACCACTTATGCAAACATCGGGTCAGGTAAAGTGTACTTGCTTTGGCTTATGACTGTGGCCAGACGCTACCAGGTTTGTCTTGCATTCTCTTCTCGTGTCAACATTGCAGTATAAATCTCTCCTGAAACAATCCTTGCTGCTTCTGACCGCGGTGGCATGTGCAAGAGTCGCGGCATAACAGGCATTCCTTTGCACCAGCGATCTACATCGGCATGCATAAATTATGCAGACTCGTTCCACGCATCATTGTGCGCGTATCACTGCTCTCTCGTTGAAGACAAGAAAGGACATCTAAACGCGAGGCACAGAAAGGCGTTTCTAACACGCAAAACGTGCACGGGAGCGAGCGTTTCCGTGAGTTTCAAAATAATTTGATTTCCTCATAATGTGTTTTACCCTTGTAATCGGTGCAAGAGGTTTGTCCCAGGGACAAATACCTTCTTATTGTTTTCACGACTGAACCTGTCTCGGGGACGAATCCCTCCTAGTACTGCATAGTAGCACGACAAGATTGGTTTGTTCTTTGTTTCTTTATTTAGCCTGTGAACAATCTCCTTAGTGGGGTAGAATAGTGTGAAAAAGGACAAGCGAACCCGAGTTTGATATTTTGTTTTCGCTCCCACCCTACTCAGGAGAATGTGGCAGGTTATATTTTAGGCTTTTTTAAGTAATAGAACGGTTTTCATTTGAGTGTCGAAAAGTAATTGGTTTTGCATCAACTACGCTACACGATTGGTTTAAAAAAACTCGCGCCACTTTTTCATCCAATCAGAAGTCAAATCAAAGCCAATTGTGACTCACTCACACACGTTTTCCCGCGCTTTGCGTCAGCTACATGTAATTACTTCGAGTTTTGATTGGTTCACTGGATTGTCTGTGACCTTTGTGATTGGCTAAAGTGATTCCTTAGGCTTTGGTTTTACGACACTCAACTGAAAAACGCTCTAACACGGTGTAGTTCGCCTCTTGAACGCTTTAAAACACCAACAAGAGCTTTCCAGGTGGTCAAGTGCACCTGAAGCAGGAAGCCCGCGTCTGGTCTTGAATTGTAACCATTTTCCACTCTCTAAACGTTAATTCTCCTCACTGACCGTCTTATAATTCGTTGAATGCCGCTGGTGAGAATTCGGAGGTATATCATGATAATTTCCATCATGTGATGATACTATTTTTATTCTCGCTATCCGGCTACTTGGCAATGCATTCATATTGTTGGGAGAAGTTAGCTCTACAACACAATGAAAGGGTGGTTGAATGGCCAATTAGTAATTAGTGGTCTGTATCGCCTTATGTTGTCTGCCTGTGACTTTCAAATTCAATAGGTCATTACCGAGGTACTTTGTGCTTGGACTGAAAACAGTCCTTCAACAGATGCCTTTACACCTTTATGTCTATGCTAATCAAACTCGTTTTCATACATCAAATGTTATATACTAAACCTAAGTTCTTTGCAGCTGACTTCACAACATTGGGTATATTGGAGAGTGTTCGGGAGTGCTCGTTGAGTTGTCTGATTGGTAGATAAGAGTCGGCACCTCTTCGTATACTTCACGAACTGCTACAGTTTTTTTCAACTGACACTTATTGCTTCAAACTCTTTGAGATTGCCTGCTTGCTTGCGAAAGTAAATAACGTTGTTTCAAATAATGTAATCTGTAATGCTAAATTACGTTGTTTTACAATAGGCAGATATTTGCCTCTCGTCAAATGTAGTAACACTGGTGTTCAAAATTAATAAAACTCTTAGCTTGTTTTCTACCATCAACTGCGAATCGCCTACACAGACGCGAACCCAAGTAACAGTTATAAACGCTAACGCGGCATGCACTAACTGTTTTGTAGTCGATAATACGTATAAGTTCAAAGAAATTGCCAGTAAACTAACTTATACCAACGGTAGGGGAAAGAGTCATAAAATTTGCACTGATGTATCTCTTAAAAATACTAATTAGAGAACTTAAGCAAACCACGACGGCATCGGCACCGAGAACACCACCAAACAAAAGATTTATGAGTAGAACAATGGCTGTGCACGTGCGTTATAAATCTTTGTACACCTCTTTGCCGCCCTCTGCACAACTACAACGTGAAATGACAATGGAGAACGGGAACGACGGCAGCTAATTTTTCGTATTTTCATTTGGAATTGAACACTGGCGTTAGAGATTTAGCTTGAGCGAGTTCTGAGACCAAAAGGCGCACTGAACAGATGTAGACAACTGCGAAATTCGAAGGTAAAAGGCGTTATCCTCGGGGTCGCCGTCGTCATTGCATATGCACAGGAACACGCTCCCTTCTGTCTCTTTCAACATCTCAGTAGATGCGTCGTTGTTCTCATGTGTATTCTTTTTAAGGGAACTATTTCACGTTTTCTGTTAAAAAAGGTTTTATGATATACACAATGATCATTAAATCAATGGTTCGAAACAATCAAGTTTGCTTTTACTAACATGCAAAAAACCCAATAAACCTAAATAAACGCCATTTTTTCTTCAACAAATGTATCCCTGGCATAAGCTCATTGAAATAAGGTTTTCACTAATTTGCTAGAAGAAACTTGAATTATACGAAACCTTTCTTTAACACACCATGCATATACTCTTTAGTTCGAGATCCTTCTCCTGCTTTACAAAAAAATTGATATCATTAAAGAATCTAAGATTTTCAGACTTCACAATCATGACAATGCCTAGCCTATTTGTTATTTCAATAAAAAAGAAAATATTATAATCTAATGTTATTACATGTTTACAGTTTTGCTTTTTCGCTCTGCATAACTAGTGCTCTTTCTAATATATTGCATGAGACTTAAACACATGTCGAACATTTTGGACTTTCTTGTTCATCGAGTTATATTTACTTGAAATTTGTGGCCCATCTTCACAAACCTTTCCTCTTTGAGGAGCGGAGGACGGAAGCAAGCCAGCAGACAAGCAACCACGCTCGGTTTCGTTTCGGACATGTCCTCAGTGCTGCGCCATATGCACGGACACCTGACAGTCACGGTTACAGAGAACACCATTTCTTTCTCGGTGCTGTCAGTGCAAGGGATGACTGGAACTGATTTAATTGAGAACAGTGTTTTCCAACCCAAACTGCAGGAACCATTATTCCAAACTGCCAATTTTAGACACCTTGTGGAATAATGAAGTTATCTATGTGTCGTGACGCACAGGTCGCTTTATGGCATTCCATATTGTGGTTTTCGGTAACGTTTCATTTTGCACTCTTCTAGGACTGCCAACCTCGCACACGACCAAACACGATGTAAAATCACTGACGCTCTACATCCTAAGATCCTACTCATGAATGAGTGAATCTTATTTCAATCGGTTCTATTTTTCTTATTTTAATCGGTTCTTGTTCCGCTAAATGGTTCCCTGGGGGACACTTGATTTATGTCGGCAAATTTTCAAAATCTTTCTGAATAGTATCGCCTCTTCTTCTCAAACCTCCCGCCTCACCCCTCTAATCACTTGTATAGCATGTTTCATTGTTTCGCCTTTCAGTGAACCCTTGTTCACATATCAGTCACTCTCAATAGACATGTCAATAGCTCTACTCTCTCGCTCTACACCGACTACAGCCTTCGCTTCCCACCGGAATGTCTTCGCCACCTCGCACTATCCATCCCGTGAAATAAACGTGGCCTTGGTCGCATGATTTCCAGACACCTTTTTGGTACCCTGGGAAATTGGCGAAGTCTTCTGCTTCCTCGGGCGGTAAGGGTGGAAGTTGCAGCTCCGTTCTTAGCAAGTGGACTGTTCCTCTCAGCCATTCAAGACCTAGAGCACGATCGTTACCCTTAACAAACACTGCAAACCGATCGCATGCCAACTTTAGTCGAGTGCTACCTGTTCTTGAAAAAAAGATTTGGTGTTTTGCAGCTTCAATTTGTGCCTCTAGCACATGACTAAAGAGAAAGAACTTCCTTGTATGTTCGTGCACCTGACAAAGAGTTTTCAAATTGAGTTGAGGTTGCTCAAGGTATTCTTTGATATTTTCTAGCGCATTCATGGTAATGTTTTCGAGTTGCTCCACGTCCCCTTGCTGTGAGGAGATACCTTGGGCTGCGTGCACGTTTGCTAGAACTTGCTGTGATGCCTGTACTTTCTTAAGAATCGTCAAGTGATTCTTAGCTATAAAAAGAAACAGAATCGTGCTCTCATCCATTCGTACATCTTGTGGAAAACAGAACTGCATAATGCGAGGAACTGTTTGCGGAAATTTCAGCTTCTCCACATCAAACTTTAGGTGCCTTAGATCCTTTCCTAAGACATGGACAGACTTGGAAACGTCAACTGCAAGCTGGTGTACTTGTGTCTTGACGATGTCAATGTTCCTCAGTGTCCTTTTGACGAGATTTCCATAGCGATAGCTGAATGTAATTGATCTAGGACATCTTGGACAACGCATGAGTTGAACGTCACTGCTCTGTTGACGCAAAATCCATTCGTCCATTTCTTTAACTGTTATGATGTGACCACAGTCGAAAAGTTCTAGACATCTTGTGGGTTCCGTTTTGTTAACACGCCCATCCTTTAACATAGAAGATAGCTTTTTAGCGTGACAGATAGCACACACGGTGGGACAGTTTTCTCCACACAAGCCAATACATTGGTGGCCACAAGAAAGCTTTTTAGGACAGGGAGCGTCACAACGAGGGCGGTCGCATTTCTCACCACAAAGATTGTTGCACTGGTAATGAGGACAACTCCATGTACAAGGCTGTCTACATGGTCTGCATGGCTTTGAGCAGTGCTCCTTACACTTATCATGGGGGCACCTTCGACAGCATTTACTGACACACGGAGGGCAAGGCTCACAGCATGTCGCTCTGCAACGGTGCAAGCAAACGAGAAAACGACTGCATGGATTCTGGCAAATCTCGTGTGAATTCCTTTGCCGACAATCGCCACATGTCCCAGAACACTGATGACCACATTGCAGCTTTGTTCCACATGCTACAGGGCACCTCACATTTTCCGGGTTCTGACAGCAACGCATTTCAATGTTGTGCCCACATCGTAACGTTCTCGTCACAGGTTCGTTGCAAGGATACTTAGAGCAAGGTTCCCCACACCATCCTTTACAAAGATGTTCACATGAGGTCTTCTGTCGCCGACAAGGTATGCTACAAATAGCTGTTTTTCTCTGAAAACACGAAAGCTTTCTTCTGTGGCCACAAGCAAACGTCATTACTGTTTTTCGCATGCACTTCTCAGTTCCGCATGGTTGGTCGCAAACCCCGTTACAGGGATGACCACAGTCTAGCTTTTTCGTGCAGCTCTTCACACATATTACGGTTGTTGGGTCTTTACCACATGGCAATTGAAGTTGATGCTTTCCTGGGCAATTAAGTTTCTTCATCACCATCTCTTCGCACTGGTAATCACTGCACTTTTCAGAGCATTTTCCAATACAAACGTGGCCGCATGATAGCTTTCGTGTGCATTTGTCTAGACAAATAATTTTGGAAACGTCGTCAGGACAAAGACAACTGATTTTATGGTGTCCGCACGACAAATTCTTTTCGACCCTTTCCGTGCATTTCACTTGACTGCAGTCGTCACTGCATCGTCCTCGGCAAGGATGCTGACAGGAAAGAACGTTTTCACACGGAGCGTCGCAAAAAATGTCTTCTGGTTTCACGGAACATTGCATCTCTTTCGCATGGCCACAAGGTAGATTTTTCTTGACCACAACATCGCATTTCTCATCCCTCGTTTTTGAACATTCCACGCGCCTTTTGTGCCCACAGTACAGTGTGACATCAACCATCTCCTGGCAATTGTACTCTTCGGGAATTTCACAACAGGGAATAGTTACCTCGTGATCACAGGACAACTTTCGAGTTGTCATAACCATGCAACGGGGTAGTCTTCCAGCCCTTTCAGCGGAGCAGGTGACAGACTTTGTGTGTCCACATGTCATTGTGACATCGACTTTTTTCATGCACTTGTACTCTTCAGGATTTGNTCACGGAACATTGCATTTCTTTCGCATGGCCACAAGGTAGTTTTTTCTTGACAACAACATCGCATTTCTCATCTTCTGATACTTTCCTCGTTTTTGAACATTCCACGCGCCTTTTGTGTCCACAGGACAGTGTGACATCAACCATCTCCTGGCAATTGTACTCTTCGGGGATTTCACAACAGGGAATAGTTACCTCGTGATCACAGGACAACTTTCGAGTTCTCATAACCATGCAACGGGGTAGTCTTCCAGCCCTTTCAGCGGAGCAGGTGACAGACTTTGTGTGTCCACATACCATTGTGACATCGACTTTTTTCATGCACTTGTACTCTTCAGGATTTGTGTGACACTGAAGGATGGCTTTGTGCTTGCAAGGCAGTTCTTTATCTACTTTCTCATTGCATTTCACGTTCTGTAGGCCAGCTTCTTCAACACAGCAGTCCATTGCCTTCTTGTGTCCACATGATAGATCGACCACAACTTTTACCTTGCATTTGTACGTTTGAAGACTTTTGTTACAGGCTAGAGTTACTGTATGTCCACAAGGTAATGTTCTCGGTACCAATTTCATACATGGTCGTGCTTCACAGTTCTTCCCACAGACGTCTCGACAAGGATGTCCACAGGTTCTAACTCGTTCGCATGGCTTTTTACAAACTAGTGCAGTTGGGTCCAAGTGACAGGGCATCTCAATATTGTGGTTACATGAGGGAATTGTCATGTTAACCATCACTTGGCAATCTTTACATGGAAAACCAAAGTGGCACCGTTGTTGACAGGGATGGCCTCGGTTACATTTCCTTTGACACATTTCGTGACAGCTGATGTAGCGTGGGTCAAAGTGGCATGGAAGGATTTGTTTGTGATCACATGGAAGAAGCTTTTCAACCAAAATTTCGCACCGGTAACTGCTACATTCTTCATAACACAGACCAGGACACTCGTGTCCACAGGCAAGCAACTTTCTAGTGCATTTCTTAAAGCAAGGGGGTGGATAGCTCTTTTCAGGACACAAAACGAATACTCCATGACTGCATGGCAGCTTGACCTCAATTGTAGTGTTGCAGCGACATCGGTCCTTGCATTTCTTGGAACAAGGGTGGCCACAATCCAGGATTTTGTCACAGTTGCTGTAGCACTGGTTGTAGATTATGGGATCTTTGAAACACGGCATAATCGTTTCATGTCCACATGGAAGAGTTTTATTACATTCAACATAGCAACGCATTGTGCATGCTCTACCACATATGTTTTTACATCTGTGCCCACATTTGAGAGATTTCTCGCATTTGACTTGACATGTAAAATCTTCAGGTTCAATACAGCACTGCACTGTTTGGTCGTGACCGCATCGAGGAATAATCTTCACCATAGGACGTGCACAGAAACAGCCATCCGGATAATGACAACGTTTTTGGCACTGATGGTCATTGGCGCAACTTTTCCAGCACACTTTGGGGCATCGACCAGGTAAATGAAAATCATCTGTAGGATGACAGGCCCTGTCGCAAGCATGACCGCAGTCAAGACGCACTCCACAGACTTTTTCACAACCACCAAGGGGAAACTTTTGGATGTCACGCCAATCTCTTGCTTGGTTGACATTGCTGTGCCTCTTGCAAACCAGTGTTAGGATTTGACCGATTGCGTTCTTCGTTTCTAAATCATCGCAAATCNGCATCTCAATATTGTGGTTACATGAGGGAATTGTCATGTTAACCATCACTTGGCAATCTTTACATGGAAACCCAAAGTGGCACCGTTGTTGGCAGGGATGGCCTCGGTTACACTTCTTTTGACACATTTCGTGACAGCTGATGTAGCGTGGGTCAAAGTGGCATGGAAGGATTTGTTTGTGATCACACGGAAGGAGCTTTTCAACCAAAATTTCGCACCGGTAACTGCTACACTCTTCATAACACAGACCAGGACACTCGTGTCCACAGTCGACCAATTTTCGAGTGCATTTCATAATGCAAGGGGGTGGATAGCTCTTTTCCGGACACAAAACGAGTACTCCATGCCTGCATGGCAGCTCTACCTCAATTGTAGTGTTACAGCGACATCGGTCCTTGCATTTCTTGGAACAAGGGTGGCCACAATCCAGGACTTTGTCGCAGTTACTATTGCACTTGTTATAGAAGTAAAAGATTATGGGGTCTTTGAAACACGGCATAACCTTTTCATGTCCACATGGAAGAGCCTTAGAGCAGTTGACTTTGCAAGGTGTACATGGACTGCCACATATGTTTTCACATCTGTGCCCACAGGTGAGAAACTTCTCGCATTTGACTTGACATGTAAAATCTTCAGGCTCAATACAGCACTGCACTGTTTGTTCGTGACCGCATCGAGGAATAATCTTCACCACAGGACGTGCACAGAAACAGCCATCCGGATAATGGCAACGCTTTTGGCACTGATGGTCATTGGGGCAACTTTTCCAACACACTTTGGGGCATCGGCCAGGTACATGAAGTTCATCTGTAGGATGACAGGCCCTGTCGCAAGCATGACCGCAGTCAAGACGCACTCCACAGAGTTTTTCACAACCACCAAGGGGAAACTTTTGGATGTCCTTCCAATCTCTTACTTCGTTGGCATTGCTGTGCCTCTTGCAAACCAGTGTTAGGATTTGACCGATTGCGTTCTTCGTTTCTAAATCATCGCAAATCTCTTTCCATAGTATGCACTGGCTTTTGAGGAGGGAAAAGTTTCCAATGCAATAAAATCCTTGACGAGCTCTTGACAATGCAACGCATATTCTGTTTGACTCCTTCAAGAATCCTATTTTTGAGCTTCGTACCAATGAGAGGAGGATGATGTCATTTTCTTCGCCTTGAAAGTTGTCGACAACACACACTTTAATTCCCTCGAACTCACGTCTCGGCATTCTGCTCTGGAGCTCCAAAAGCTGGCCCGTGTACATGGTGAGAATTGTGATTTGCTCTCGCTTGTAACCTTGCAGTAACAAATAACGACAGAGAGCCACTAGGAATCCAGCCTCGTGAGGATTGGAGAAACTTTGCAAACCACGAACTAGAACTTCAGGCTGGTTGTGGTCAATAAAGAACATATTGTGCCTTAGTCCGGAGATGTCGTCAAACGCACACACGGACTCATGGTCCACGATCTCATGTTCGTAAATTCTTTTAGTCAGGGCAGCTATCTCAGGACGCATGCGGTGCTGAATGCAGAGGCGCTTGCAGTCCATACTGTTTAACACCATTCGCTCGAACAGCGAGATCTCCAGATTGTATTTCTGGGCCAATTCGTAAACTGTTGCCTTCGGGCGAAGCTGCTTATGGTCTCCAATGAGAATTGTATGTTGTGTGTTTCGTGAGAGAGAAGTGATGATATGGGCTTCCAGAACCTCAGCTGCCTCCTCTATGATAACGATTTTGGGAGCTATTCTCTGAAGCATTGAGTGGTATCTGGCAGCACCACTGGTTGTCATTCCAACGACTGTTGCGCGACGTATGATCTCTTCCTCTTCTTGGGCTTTAATCTCTTCCAATTCAACACAAAGCTCTTTATGTTTTTGTTCATAACGTTGTTCACATCGTTGAATTTCTATTCTGTGGCGTTCACGGTAACATTCAATCCAGTAAAGGTACAATCGGAGGCGATCCTTTGCTGATAAGCACCAAATATTTTCCACTGTTAGTGCCTCGTCACTGGGCATCATCGCCTCCTGTTGCAGCTGCCTTCTTATGTTAGCAAAGTTTGCTGTAATATTGATCTTGTCCTCTGTCTTTTTCTTTTTCTTTTTGCGTTTTTTGGTGGTTGTAATCCTCTCTTGGCTGTCTTCAACCTCACCCAATTGACCTTCTATTTCGTCTTTGATGGTCCCGCCTTCTTCTTTTCTCCAAACGAATCGCTGGGGATTTTTCTGGTAGAGAACTGTTTTCCATTCCTCACTGTTCTCAGATACCGCTGCTTCATTTTCTTCTTTGCGTTTTTCTCTATCCGATTGTTGTAACTTTACTAACCTGTATTCTTCTTCACCCTCTAGACATCTCTGACTCTGGATCCATGCTGCCTCATCTTCCACTGCGATGGTCTCTTCACCGGCGTCATGTGGTGTCATTTCTTCCTCGTTACTTTTTCCCTCTACGGTATCAAAGCTTTTGGATTCGGGATCATTGTCTCCATTTAGCGATTGACTTTCCTGTTCAAGGTGTTTGGCAACTATAGGTTTTTCAATCCTCTTTGAAACTAGCATCTGTGACTCATCCTGCTGTGCTTGCTGTAAGTCTTCAGTATTCCCCTGCTTCGCGTTCTTGTTATTGGATTGGAGATCCTCGTGAACTGAGGGCTCTGATGCCACATGTCTGGAGTAACTCATAGGAGATCCGTTCAGAGAGGGAGTGTTTGCGTCCAGTTGATTCTTAACCTTTGTATTTGTTGATGGACTTTGGTCTGAAACAGTTTCTGTATCTCTTGTTGTTGCATTCTCCTTTGGCACTTCTTGCAGGGATTGTTCAACAGGATTCACTACTTCGTCCTGTAAAAGATGACTGTTATTGTTTCCTTCAAATCGTTCTCCAGCAGCATGGTAAAGAACGTCATCGTCTTCATCTGCATAATCCTCCTGCAGAACAGATCCATCTTGGGCTCCTTCCTTATGGATTTCCATTACCGTGCTTAAGTGTTGGTTTGCATCATTCATCCGGGTGTTGTTACAGAGCCATAACTTGAAAGTATTTGCTGGGTTTTGACAGCTGCTTGTTGCGTTACGTGGAAAGGTTGCTCCATAAAGTTGGTCTGCATGTCGTGAGCTCATTCCGTCTTCCAAATCTCGAAATTCCAAAAGTACTTTGTCTGCTTTGGTAAGAAGTTTCTTACAATGCTCAATTTCCAAGTCCATTTCTCGTTGATTTTCTTCCATTTCTCCACGTTTGAATCCATGGGCATAATTTCGTCTGTACGTCTTGGTGAAGATCTTTAAATTACAGTCTTCCAATTCCTTACTTTTGCTTCTTCCCCCGACTCGAATAATTGCTCTCTTCGGAAGAAACTCTAGCACTTTCTCTAGAAATTGATCCAGTGCGTGATTTGTGTAGCAGACCATTAGCATTGGTGATACTTTTTCTGGATCCCACTGCAGTCGATTTTCCAGCAGGCATCGCACAATTTTGGCTCCAACGTAGGTCTTTCCCGTTCCTGGTGGGCCTTGTATGACGGAAAATTCAGTTGTCACTGCTGTTCTTAACGCTTCTAACTGGGACTCGTTTAGAGGAAGTATGTCTACGGATGGCCAAGCCTCAGGGTTGAGAACAGGTACCCTCTTCGATGTTGGTGAATTCCATACACCAAGGGCCTTGGTCAGATCATAACACACAGGATCTTGACCATCTTCTCGTACAAGATACTCCGGTGGTTCCGCCTTGTCACTACATTCAACCAAATACTTTTTGAAAGGCATGCTGTCTGCGTTTATTCCCTTGAGTCCTTTAAGTACATGACGGCAGGCTTCAAAAAAAGCTGGTGACTCAACCATCTGGTATTCTTGTTGGCGCTTCTCGATATCTAAAATATTTTGTTCCTCAATGAACTGAATATCAAATGTACCTTTCTGAAGGTTCCTCGGGTCTCGATTGGCAACCGTGGCAAAAAGCATTGTTTCGAAATTGTCTTTTGACAGGCACAGGAATGAACCATAAATGAGCCTCTTTGAGTGCGCCCATTTTGTCATGGGAAATTTGGAAACATCAAAGTGAACATTGTAAATAATTCCAGACTTACTCAATTCCTTGCCGGCAATGGTTACTCCTTGGTAGCATTTCATCAACTGATTACGTTGTCCTCTTGGAATGTTGTGCGTAATTTCATAGATACCTTCTCTTAATGGCGCAAGGAAATCCTCTCGAAGCAATCGGAACTGCACATCAAGATAATGTTCGACATCTTGGAAATGTCCCTTTTTGATGTTCTTTCGCAGAAAGGGTCGTTCTTGAGACTTGATTTCTTTGTTCGTTGGACAGATGGGGATGTCTCTAAAATCATTTGGTGGCTTTTGACCCATCTTGTTGGCGTAACGTCTTCCATGCTTTTGTCTTTCGGCCTTGATGATGTCATCTCTTCTTTGTTTGAAATCATCTAATTGTTTCTTCAGCACATCTTTTCCGTCAATGTTTGACTGATCCAAGGTTTCTCTGAGCGGATCGTAAGGCGGGTCCGCATATGAACTCGGTAAGTGCATCAGATACTTATTGAATACTTTGATTAGGGATTCTACGAGTCTTCTTTGAGACTGGGGATCAGTTATTGACGTTTTCCCTTTCTGAACACGATCCAGTAAGTATGGAATTTTGGAACTAAAAAAGGCTGAACCTTTAAGCGCAGCTAGAATCTTATTCGGGTTTTCACCAGCTGGCGCATCGCAGACAATTGCTAGTGTACAAGTAAGGTCGAAGATAAAGTCCTCAGTGTTGTGCTGTTCCTCTTCTGATCTTAGAACGAACTTAAGTCCAGCCATACTATCGTTTAATTTGTGGACCACCTCAATCCAATCCTTTTCTTTCAAGGTCTTAAGATCCAGAGTGTTACCTTTACTGGGAAATGATTTCTTTTGACCGCCGTTCTGTGCTCTACCCGCGGGAGGCTGTGTCTCGTGCTGCGTTGCTGATTTGGCATTTCTGTTCTTTGGATAAGGCTTTCTTGGTCGATGGTCTTGGTTTTTACCTGTGTCATAGGAGATAACCAATTTAACGTAATAGTTGTAAAGTAGTTCAAACTTTCGAACTAGCACCCTTTGTCTGTTATTGTACTCACCTGAAGTTTTACCTTTGCCAGTTGATGACGGAATGCGTTTGCCTTTGTCGCCTTCTCGTGATCCGGCTCCCTTACCGCGCCCTTTTGGAACTTGCTTCNGCACTTGTACTCTTCAGGATTTGTGTGACACTGAAGGATGGCTTTGTGCTTGCAAGGCAGTTCTTTATCTACTTTCTCATTGCATTTCACGTTCTGTAGGCCAGCTTCTTCAACACAGCAGTCCATTGCCTTCTTGTGTCCACATGATAGATCGACCACAACTTTTACCTTGCATTTGTACGTTTGAAGACTTTTGTTACAGGCTAGAGTTACTGTATGTCCACAAGGTAATGTTCTCGGTACCAATTTCATACATGGTCGTGCTTCACAGTTCTTCCCACAGACGTCTCGACAAGGATGTCCACAGGTTCTAACTCGTTCGCATGGCTTTTTACAAACTAGTGCAGTTGGGTCCAAGTGACAGGGCATCTCAATATTGTGGTTACATGAGGGAATTGTCATGTTAACCATCACTTGGCAATCTTTACATGGAAAACCAAAGTGGCACCGTTGTTGACAGGGATGGCCTCGGTTACATTTCCTTTGACACATTTCGTGACAGCTGATGTAGCGTGGGTCAAAGTGGCATGGAAGGATTTGTTTGTGATCACATGGAAGAAGCTTTTCAACCAAAATTTCGCACCGGTAACTGCTACATTCTTCATAACACAGACCAGGACACTCGTGTCCACAGGCAAGCAACTTTCTAGTGCATTTCTTAAAGCAAGGGGGTGGATAGCTCTTTTCAGGACACAAAACGAATACTCCATGACTGCATGGCAGCTTGACCTCAATTGTAGTGTTGCAGCGACATCGGTCCTTGCATTTCTTGGAACAAGGGTGGCCACAATCCAGGATTTTGTCACAGTTGCTGTAGCACTGGTTGTAGATTATGGGATCTTTGAAACACGGCATAATCGTTTCATGTCCACATGGAAGAGTTTTATTACATTCAACATAGCAACGCATTGTGCATGCTCTACCACATATGTTTTTACATCTGTGCCCACATTTGAGAGATTTCTCGCATTTGACTTGACATGTAAAATCTTCAGGTTCAATACAGCACTGCACTGTTTGCTCGTGACCGCATCGAGGAATAATCTTCACCATAGGACGTGCACAGAAACAGCCATCCGGATAATGACAACGTTTTTGGCACTGATGGTCATTGGCGCAACTTTTCCAGCACACTTTGGGGCATCGACCAGGTAAATGAAAATCATCTGTAGGATGACAGGCCCTGTCGCAAGCATGACCGCAGTCAAGACGCACTCCACAGACTTTTTCACAACCACCAAGGGGAAACTTTTGGATGTCACGCCAATCTCTTGCTTGGTTGACATTGCTGTGCCTCTTGCAAACCAGTGTTAGGATTTGACCGATTGCGTTCTTCGTTTCTAAATCATCGCAAATCTCCTTCCATAGTATGCACTGGCTTTTGAGGAGGGAAAAGTTTCCAATGCAATAAAATCCTTGACGAGCTCTTGACAATGCAACGCATATTCTGTTTGACTCCTTCAAGAATCCTATTTTCGAGCTTCGTACCAACGAGAGGAGGATGATGTCGTTTTCTTCGCCCTGAAAGTTGTCGACAACACACACTTTAATCCCCTCGAACTCACGTCTCGGCATTCTGCTCTGGAGCTCCAACAGCTGGCCCGTGTACATGGTGAGAATTGTGATTTGCTCTCGCTTATAACCTTGCAGTAACAAGTAACGGCAGAGAGCCACTAGGAATCCAGCCTCGTGAGGATTGGAGAAACTTTGCAAACCACGAACTGGAACTTCAGGTTGGTTGTGGTCAATAAAGAACATATTGTGCCTTAGTCCGGAGATGTCCTCAAACGCGCACACGGACTCATGGTCCACGATCTCATGTTCGTAAATTCTTTTAGTCAGGGCAGCAATCTCAGGACGCATACGGTGCTGAATGCAGAGGCGCTTGCAGTCCATACTGTTTAACACCATTCGCTCGAACAGCGAGATCTCCAGATTGTATTTCTGGGCCAATTCGTAAACTGTTGCCTTTGGGCGAAGCTGCTTATGGTCTCCAATGAGAATTGTATGTTTTGTGTTTCGTGAAAGAGAAGTGATGATATGGGCTTCCAGAACCTCAGCTGCCTCCTCTATGATGACGATTTTGGGGGATATTCTCTGAAGCATGGTGTGGTATCTGGCAGCAACGCTGGTTGTCATTCCAACGACCGTTGCGCGGCGTATGACCTCTTCCTCGTCTTGGGCTTTAATCTCTTCCAATTCAACACAAAGCTCTTTATGTTTCTGTTCATAACGTTGCTTACATCGTTGAATTTCTATTCTTTGGCGTTCGCGGTAGCATTCAATCCAGTAAAGGTACAATCGGAGGCGATCTTTTGCTGATAAACACCAAATATTTTCCACTGCAAGTGCCTCGTCACTGGGCATTATCGCTTCCTGTTGCAGCTGCCTTCTTATGTTAACAATGTTTGCAGTCATATTGATCTTGTTCTCTGTCTTCTTCTTTTTCTTTTTGCGTTTTTTGGTGGCCGTAATCCCCCTTTGGCCATCTTCAGCCTCAACCAACTGACCTTTTATGTCGTCTCTAATGGTTCCGCCTTCCTCTTTTCTCCAAAAGAATGGTTTGGGATTTTTCTGGTAGATAACTGTTTTCCATTCCGCACTGTTCTCAGTTACCTCTACTTCATTTTCTTCTTTGCGTTTTCCTTTATCCGATTGTTGTACCCTTACTAACCTGTGTTCTTCTTCACCCTCTATGTATCTCTGACTCTGGATCCATGCCGCCTCATCTTCCACTGTGATGGTCTCTTCACTGGGGTCATGTGGGTTCATTTCTTCCGCGTTACTTTTTCCCTCTGAGGTTTTAAGACTTTCTGATACGGCATCGTTGTCTTCATTTAGCAATTGACTTTCCTCTTCAACCTGTTTGGCAACTATAGGTTCTTCAATCTCCTTGGAAACTGTTATTTGCAAGTCATCCTGCTGTGATTGCTGCAACTCTTCATTATTGCACTGCTCTCCATTCTTGGTATTGGACAGAAGATCCTCATTAACTGAGGGCTCCCATTCCACATTTCTGGGGTAACTCATAGGAGATCCATTCAGAGAGGAAGTGTTTGCGTCCAGTTGATTTGTGTCCTTTGTATTTCTTGATGGACTTTTGCCTGAAACCGTTTCTGTATCCTCTGTTGTTGTATTCTCCTTTGGCATCTCTTGCAGGGATTGTTCAACAAGACTGACTACTTCGTCCTGTAAAATATGACTAATGCTGTTTCCTTCAAATCGTTCTCCAGCAGCATGGTAAAGAACGTCATCGTCTTCGTCTGCATAATCCTCTTGCAGAACAGATCCATCCTGGGCTCCGTCCTTGTGGCTTTCCGTTAACGTGCTCGCGTGTTGGTTTGCATCATTCATCTGGGTGTTGTTACAGAGCCATAATTTGAAAGTATTTGTTGGGTTTTGACAGTTGCTTGTTGCGTTACGTGGAAAGATTGCTCCATAAAGTTGGTCTGCATGTCGTGAGGTCATTACGTCTTCTAAATCTCGAAATTCCAAAAGTACTTTGTCTGCTTTGGTAAGAAGTTTCTCACAATGCTCAATGTCCGAGTCCATTTCTCGTTGATTCTCTTCCATTTCCTCAAGTTTGCATCCATGGGCATAATTTCTTCTGTACTTCTTGGTGAAGACCTTTAAATTACAGTCTTCTAATTTCTCACTTTTGCTTCTTCCCCCTACCCGAATAATCGCTCTCTTCGGGAGAAACTCTAGCACCTTCTCTAGAAATTGATCCAGTGCGTGATTTGTGTAGCAAACCATTAGCATTGGTGATACGTTTTCAGGATCCCACTGCTGTCGATTCTCGAGCAGGCATCGCACGATTTTGGCTCCAACGTAGGTCTTTCCAGTTCCTGGTGGGCCTTGTATCACGGAAAATTCAGTTGTTAGTGCTGTTCTTAACGCTTCTAGCTGGGACCCGTTTAGAGGAAGTATGTCTACTGATGGCCAAGCCTCAGGGTTGAGAACAGGTACCTTCTTCGATGTTGGTGAATTCCGTACACCAAGGGCCTTGCTCAGATCATAACATACAGGATCTTGACCATCTCCTCGTACAAGATACTCCGGTGGGTCCACCTTGTCACTACATTCAACCAGATACTTTGTGAAAGGTATGTTGTCTGCGTTCATTCCCTTGAGTCCTTTAAGTACATGACGGCAGGCTTCAAAAAAAGCTGGTGACTCAACCATCTGGTATTCTTGTTGGCGCTTCTCGATATCTAAAATATTTTGTTCCTCAATGAACTGAATATCAAATGTACCTTTCTGAAGGTTCCTCGGGTCTCGATTGGCAACCGTGGCAAAAAGCATTGTTTCGAAATTGTCTTTTGACAGGCACAGGAATGAACCATA